CAGTCAGTAAATGATATAGTTTAATTTCTTTTTCAATTGCTGGCAAGGGCAATGATGATAATAATAATAATGATAATTGATTCATTTCAAATCTGCAATACACATAAGGAAGACAATATAATAATTGTATATTAGATCTGTAGAAATCAAAGAAAAACACATAAGACAATAAATTACAATTCATAATAATCATTAATGTATCTTATGAAAGTCAAAAAATACAGAGTTAATGGTTAATCCATCACACTACCAATGCCTCTCCAGCGAGATCTAGATCCTTGTAGATCTATATAATAGTAATAGTAATGATAATAATAATAATGAAGATGCTTAAAGTTTTTTCATTTGGCTACATTCATATAGTAACATTATTTTAAAGCGTAATTACTAAATTTGTATACCAGTGATTCAGTTGTTCTTGATCCAAGCTATTATAACCTATAAAATGTATAGTAACTGGTCATTGGTATTTTCTCATCAAGCCCTGCAATAATTACGCCCACATTTTCTTACAATAACTGCCAAAACCACAAAAATGTAATTATTTTACCATCTGGAATGTGTGGCTGTGAATGTGTGGATAACTTCAGCAGAGTCATACACATCATGCATAGACACACATCACTATCACATGATACACAGAAGTGTCACACACACACACACAGATACCCTCATGTATGGATGCACACACAATCACACATGCCACACAGTAAAGGTAGTCTTGCATAGCCAGAGGGGCTAGCTGGCTAGGCGAGACTACAGTAAAGGGGGTATCCTTATTTTTAACATTACTAGACTATTCTGGTAGACTGGTACATGTCAGTTATGATTGTTAATGAATATAAAACTGATAGAACATTGTATGTGGGTAATTTATGACTACACACATATATACTCATGTTACATTAGCTTATGCATAGAAACATATACATATACAAATGTCACACACGCACACAGATACATGATAATACTCTCACACACACATTACATACACTTTATAAATACACGTCACATACACACGTCATACATTCATAATTCTTACATATATTATATGCACTATCATACATGCAGACACATGATAATGTATACACACACACATCACATATAGATACATGTCACAAACACATGACACAGAGACACACTGACAAATGCACTTAATTATTAAGAATCTGTTTCATGTTGTAGGATTTTTTATCGCATCAGTTAGCTAGTAGGATCTACCCTCTTGTTTCTTTACTTTTTTCCAAATCAATCCTACTACTTTTCTATTTCTAATGTTTTTTATTTACTTGCTTCCATTCTTTTGTCTTAAATTAAAATTGTGTTAAACCACAAACCCACGCAATGTCTTTACAACTGGATTTTGTCTTCCATTTTGTTCTCTCTGTCTTTGCTTCTTTTTTAACCAATGATGTAAAAGTCAACCCAATAGTTTTATGGTTTAAAAGATCTTCTGGATAGAAGATGAAAGAAGAATTTTGTAGAAATTTGAATTTGGGCCTATTCTGCAGAAAAGCTCCCACTACATTACAATCCACTTTAAAGGTACTAGGAGAATCGCTCAGTGGAGGAGAGCTCATCTAAGCCATTTATAAGGCTGTACAACTTAGATAAAAAAGTAATAAGTGTTTAAAAATCATAAAAACGATAGCCATCTTGAAAAACCAACTTCAATCCTACATATAGGCTATCGTCTATCTTAAATATTAATTAACAATTGTGTATTAGTGATGAGAAGTACTGACCTGATGAAATCCTGTAATAATGTATCTCATTACATCTACCACCAGCTGAATACTGAGCATCAGGTTGCTTTGGAGTATTGATGGAAGCTGATCCTCTGCTTCCTCCAATTATTACAAGATAATCTTCACCATCAAAATGAGCTGATACCATTCCACAGTAGGCCTTCATCATTGGACCATGAGCAGAACTAGAAGGAGAGAGTTCCCTCCAGTTGAATGAATCCACATTGAAGCAGTGAACACTATTGCGATAGACAAGACTCCTATTACCACCAAAGAAATAGATGTTGTTTCCAACAGCAACAGATGAATATCCACTGGCACGTAGTGGAGGGTTGCCATTTGTTGGTCTACCCTCCCATGAACCAGTAGGTAAGTGATACAGGTCCATTGATGACGTCATTAATTTATCAAGGTCACTATCAAGGTCTCTAGAAGGGTACCCACCCCACATATATAGGTAATCTCCTACCTTTACTGTGGAGTGTCTACTTCTCTTCACTGGTTGATAGTCTATAGAGAACAAGAGGTACCAGTAACAGATTATCAGTAATATAGTGATGAGTTAGAAGAAGGGCAGGATACAGAGGAGTAAATTAAAGTAAGAGAGAGAGTAAGAGAGACAAAGAATGAATGAAAGAGATACAAAGAGAAGAGAATGGTGGCCCTCACTTTTAGATGCCATTCTTGCAGAATACCAGCCCCACCCAAAACCACAAAGTCAATAAAGTGCACACCACAAAACCACAAAGTCAATAAAGTGCACACCCACTTCAGGGGTGTATGGCTGTATGCATTAGAGGTGTCGAGATTATGATAATTTTTTACCTATAATTCTATTCAGAAATTCTCAAAAAATTGCCTATTATTCTTTTTACTTTCCCCTATTATTCTCACTTTATTCTTTACAATCATGATCTAACTACCATGAAAATGAAAGTTAGTAAGCTATTTTAAGTATCATCATCAGCAGAGACTGCAAAATATAAGTCTCTATATCAATTTCAGAACCTGAACTTTCTTCAAAATAGATTTACAATAGCTGAGGCATTAAAAAATTTTTAAATGGTCCACTTGCTGCTCTTTAATTAGAGTTTGCCTACTGACCCACCTTTTAGGCCAACATTATTCTGGAATTGAAGTGCTACCTATTATTCCCAAAATTATTCCGGAATAATCGGGACACCCCTAGTATGTATACTCTTACCAATTCTTGTGACAGTGTCACCTATTAACACTACTTGATCTACTGCATAAATAATCTGAGTCATACTGCTCAATCAGTCCATTGTTTAAATAGGCCTTAATTGGGGGATTATGCCAGCATGCATAATAGGGCCCAAAAGCATAAGCATAATGTAAGCATAATAGAGCTATAAAAGAAAATTATGAAAAAATGCATTGAGAAATCCAATAAACAGGCACTTGCAATTAATAAATTAACTGTTTCCATGTTTAAACAGCTGCTATTGCTCACAATACTTCCAAGAACTTCATAATTGAATCACTGGCTCACATTTTTGGATGGGGCTAAGTTGTTATATTGAAATTCATGGGCATAATTGGCAGCATAATGGCTGATTGGTAGATCATAATAGAGCTTTTTCCTGAGAATTGCAGCATAGCATACTGAATAGAGCAATTTTAGAGCATAATCTGACAAACCCTTCCAAACTACCTAATGCTAGACCTGGTGATTATGTTGACCTTGTAAAATTACACCTTTAATTCCTGCTGTATAGACACATCACCTTAATTATAGCTATAATGATATGCTAAGCCCCTTAAAATGAATTGATGCATTAGTAGTTCAGAAAATCTTTTATGATTTGTCTAGTCTTGCACACAGCCACACATGGTATGATACAGTGAAGCTAACATTCAGTAGAATACACTGATAATATGCAGTTCAGATCAAGTTCAAGGTATATGGGCAGGGCAAAGTCTTGGAGCAAAAGCTCCTCCTGAAATAATTTAATACTTCAAGAACAAGTGTAAGCTTTTTGGCAGTTAAGTTCTCAGTAAATTAATTATTTAGAATAAAAATAAAATGTAGAAATCGGCCATAAATTAATTGACCTACATGCATAGTGAACAAAAATTAATGTTTTTGTGCTTGCGGTGTGAATCCTATCAGTTAACTTATCAGTTAGTGCCATTAATGATTGAATGTGTACCACTAGTGTCTTTCTTTTTCCTCTCACAAGAGTTCTGTGGCAGAAGGTACCTACATTTAAATACATAAAGTTCATGATAAAGTATAGCGGGATTTATTAACAAAGGTTTTATTTTGACGAGTTGACAATTTAAAATATAACGCCAAATTTTATAACCGTCAAAAAATTTTGTACTTTGTGCTGTGTGTACGCCAAGGGCACTACTCCTCAAACTAAAACTCGCCAACTGGGGAAATTTACTGTTTTTGTCAAATTTTTTACTTGTCAATAAATCCTTCTATACAGTATAATGCTACAAAACATGAAAGCATATACTTTAGTAATGACATCTATAATGTTTAGTAGGTCATAGGCATACACAATTACACATACATGTACATGTACATTGGCCACAACTATATTTTTATAGTCATGCATGCATATTATAACAAATGCTTAAAACAGCAATAGAATTAAAATCAAATAATGCATCAGAAAAATTCAATAAAAATTCATTCATAAGTGATTTTTGGCAAAATTGCTCAAAATCTACAGGGTCTTTACTACAGGGACTTTGACTAGATTTTGGAGAAACATTCTTTAAAATTCTTATAAATTTTAATATTTTAATTATCATTAATACCTCATAGCAAGAGTGGACAAAGCCAAACTGAGAAGCACCAAATTGTGACTTATCCAAAACACCACTTAACAACTGTCCCTCATGAAATGTAACCTTTAGAAAAATAAAGTATGTACATATACTGTATAGACTGTACATTTGTACAACTGACTTCTGATTCTGTCATAATGTTGTCAGTGTATTTTGAATTTTCCAAGCTCTTATTACAATACTGCCCCCACTCCTAATTAATATAAAGAGCCACCCATAGACACATCCACTAATGGTTACACTTGCCTTTGGACTGATCTTAGTCTTTGAGATAAGATTCAACTTGTCCTGACCAGCTGGAATGAGATTCAACAATAGTGACGATATAACCTGTGAGCAGAGAAAGGAAAAATTTATTAAACATAGGAAGTGTATGTGCATGTATCAAAAAGTTAATTTTTAAATAGTTTTTTTTGTATTTCAAAGTTAATTGAAGTTAATTTTAGTTAAATTTGGCAAATTTGGCGTTTTGATAGCCATTTGCCATACTAAAAATCCGTCATTTTAAGCCATTATGCGCATGCTCAATGGCACATGGCCACAAATTCACCGAATTAAAATTGGCTAATCACCAAAATTTAGACATTCGCCAAATTTAACTCCCTCCAAAATATCCTGCTATACATGATATGTTGTACCTGTTTTCTTGTCCAGAGTTCCTTTGGTTTACATATAGAAGGAGGCAAGACTTTAAAAGGAGACGTGAAATCAGGCAAAGCAACCATCAAAAGATTCTGATACCATAGGCAAGGTTTTGATTGTGTATCTAATAGATGGCGAATTTGAAAAAATAACTAGTTTGCATTTCCAACAATTGCGAGATACTAGTCTAGCTAGCCACACTCACAAGTTAACTGATTGTCTTGTTTCTCTCCTTTGCCATCTAAAGCTACTACCGCAGCTAGATTAACTTCCTTCAAGATGTTAGGTGGCATTGGGACTTGACTAGATGAGGTAATTTTGGGCTGAAAATAGCACAGGATACCACTCATGATGCTGTAAAATGAAACACGTGTAGAGAAAATAATTGATAGGCGTGGTGCTTATTAATTATTATAGGCATGGCATTTATCAATTATTATTAATTACGATTCTTTTCATTGCGAGATGTATTCCAGACTCGCAATTCGCAATCAAAAAAACCTCGCAATCAAAACCCGGCCTACGGTAGTCCCCTCTAACAATACACACACCAAATAACAGACTATAACACATTAACACATTACTCACTTATCAAAGAACCTGTCCCTCAGTGTTAGCAGTACACCTGATACAACAAGATCCTGAATGAGTCCACTGAGAGGAGTACCATCCTTAGGAACTAAGTACTGGTTCTGAGTGGATATTGAGAAAGAGTATAAGAGTACAGTAGGTTAGTTAAGTAAGGCAGTACTGTCATACTCATATATGCAAGACAATTTTCCATGCTCAATGCTTGCCACTGTAGCACATTTGTACGTGTATGTATGTACAGGTACATCTAAACAGGCAAACAGGATAAATAGGATCATATTACGGTATACACATGTACATGTACATATTTACCAATTCCATAAGTTTCAGATCTTGCAAGCTCTCCTTGAGGGAAATGAGCATTCATTTTGTCTCCATCAAAATCAGCATTGTACGTCTTACAGTTAGCATAATGTAACCTTAACGTCTTTTCCCCTGATAACACTCTAGCCTGGGGAGGAGAAAGAGAGCAAAAAAGTATTTCGAAGATGATAAAGTGTTCTTTTTACTAAAGTTTTAAGCAATCACATGTTCATGTACATGTATATTCAACCTTATGAGCCATGATACTTAGTTTGTGTAGAGAGGGTTGCCTATTCAATAGTAATATGTCACCATTCTTTGAGTGTCGATAAACCTGTTAGAAAGATCACATGTCCAGAAATTGCAATGGGACTTCCGGTCGCGTTAATTTAATGATATTCATTGGAATTACCATAGCAACGGCAGTTCAGCAATGGTGGATTCACTACTAGCTTCACTACAAAGCTTGCTAACGTCTTTCTGGTACATGAATGGGACTTCACTAGATACTTGAGGCTTCTAGAATGCTACTTAATGCAATTGGTTATGGTAGTTTTCTCATATTCTTTTGTTAAAGTGGCAAGCGTGGTGAAAGAACAGGCTCATAGCCTTCTCAACAAACGGCCGTCTTACTTCAAAAAGGTCTAGAGACACTATTTGCTTGTATATCTTGTATATATAAGATGTTAAGCACTCTTTCTTTCACTTTATTATTCCTAAGAGAAGAGGAAAGTACTTGTGACTTGTTGACTCTTGCTGCTGCACATGTCATCATTAAAATGGCTAAAATTACTTCACCTTCAGGAGATAAATGTTCCAAACAAAGTTTTGAATTTCTTTATCTTTTTTGCATCATTGGGTAGTAAGAATTTTGTACTTTCACAAAATAAGTGAGCAAATTGTCAAAAATTGTTTGAAATTTAGATATAACCATTCAAAAAGTAAAAAAATTATCATACATACATAAAGGAATGACAAGATGGCGGCACTGACTGCCTCATCTTCAATTGGTAAATGTTCCACACAAAGTTACTCCAAATGCTGTAATATTTAGCAGGAACACAGGTAGATGGATGAAGAACAGCTACTGAAGTGCGCAAATTGATGATTCTTATTGTAAAGAAAGATATAGCCTAGTAAATGGAAATGTCCATTCCTGCCCTGTATAAAGTCAATCAGTGGTATACAGAGATAATTGCTCAGTATACTACTCCGTGTCCACTCATTTCTGGACATGAATAGAAGTCACCACAAAATGTGACAACAAAACTTGGACTAATTCCAATAAAGTTTAGATTATTATGAATTTTTCAAGTTGATTAAAAATTGGGCCAATGACCAAAGGTAAGGTTGTATATTAGTAACGCGGTAGCGTTACTAAGTAGGATTCACCCCCAAACAAAATGGCTGCCACTACTTTTGCAGCCTTGCTATACCGGGAAAACAAGCTCCTATGCTTACCAGACTTCTTAGAGGACCTCATCTTGACCAGAGGACTCCAATGGTACAACTAGCATGGCTCTAAACCTTGTCTAAGCGAAAAGTCAAAAATCGGCAAACAGGCCGTTTTGTTCAGCCACCTTTTTTCATCATCATCATCATCAAGTAAATCCTGTCAATCCAATTGTTGGTCTTTATCTCGATCTTGGCTCATAATAGAAGGCTAATTCTTACACCATTTTACTCCAACAGGGTATGCACAGGTCCTTGTCCCCTAGAATCATTCTCCAAGAAAGGAAGAAGTGATACTGTGACTTTTGGATCGCACCAGCTTACCTCATGCCGCCATTTTGTTAATTAAATAAAGAAGCATGTGGCTGTGCTCCAAAATTTGGGCGTGGTCACGCATGCTCAGATCTCAGAAATGGGAACAGCAAAGTAATTTTTACCTAGCTATAGGCTAGCTATGCTTGGAATCAAATTACAATACTTAGTGGAAGTTTCCAGTTATAAGAAGTTATTGTGTAATGAATTATTTTATTTCAAAACACAAAACAATTAATTAATGTTATAATACTAATGATAATATGAACTGGACAACAGAAAGAACCTGCAGGAATAGCTACAGGATTGCTGGGAAGATAGAGCTTCTTGAACAAGGATTCACGTCAAGTCTATAGTATTCATTTCACTTGTCATCAGTATAGTAGATATTTCTTCACCATATCTATTCAATTC